TTTAATGTGTTGAGACTCTTGGTTTTAATTTTAACTGGTTTTGATTTTAATCGGTTTTCATTTGTTGATACTGTTTTTAATTTGTTTGAGCTGAAACAAATGCCATGGGTTAACCTGGAACACATGGCCTGGAGCAAGATAATAGATTCTTCTTCAGCTCTTGGTTTCCACCAGAAAAACTTAGTAAACAGATTTTACACATGAGATACCCATGGCCAAGTAGTCACATTTGACAATCTTTAACAATTCCAAAATTATACAGGGTAGAAAAAAGGTAATTTACCTTAAGAACTCAGGTATTAAGCATTAAGAGTGTTTATTGAAATTTAATGAAGGGTGTTTACATAAACAAGAAAGAGTGTTTATTACATTTAATATTTAATAAAGTGTGATTAAGCATTGCAGTGTTGATCCTAAAAATTACAGGCCTTAACCAACAAATTTTCTTGCATTTAGTCCCAGGTGGAGCTGAATAGGAAAGTGCTTGCTGATCTTGCTATTTATGAGCCAAAGACCTTCAAGTCCCTGGCTGCTTTAGCCCAGAGGAGGAGACAAGAAGGATTCCTGGCTGCCCTGGGAGATGGGAAAGAACCAGAAGGGATATTTTCACGGATTGTGCGCCACCACTACTGATATCAAAGAGTCTGTATATATGTGTTATAAACAGGGATTGGATTGCAAAGTAAACCTGCTCTGGGACTGCTGCTAAGATGGAAAATGTGGGACAATGTCCTCTAAGGATGGTTCCAGCAGGATGAGGTAGGGGCTGGGTGTGAAGCTTTGCCTTGGTGGCTTTTCCCTGTGTTGTTGTCACTGAAACCTGTTAAATTAAAAGCACAGTTCAATGTTAGTAGTCAGGCCGTACAAGGACATGCACCCTGTTCTCTTAATAACTTAATAAAGGTATTTTTTTGGTAACTTTGGAAAAAATCTCATTTATGTGGCGAATTCTGGTGCTGCACGGCAAAAACCCAGCCGGGAGTGGGGGAGTATGTTGACCCTCACTCATGGACCTCAGTGGCCAGTGTATTAAGGACACAAGGACACACATAGTCTGTTCTTTTAAGGACCTAATAAAGATTGTGGGGTTTTTTTGGTAACTGGCTACTGGAAAAAACAATATGTATGTTGATTTCTGGCACCGGAGGCAGGGAGGATATCGACCCTCTCACGTGGACCCTGCGTGTTGAGGACACAAGGACACGCACAGTCTGTTCTTTTAAAGACTTAAACAAGGCATTTTTGTTTGGTAGCTGCTATGGGGAAATAATATGGGGGAATAATTTGGTGAGTTCTGGCTCTGCATTGGGAAAATCCTGCCCTGGTGACCGTTGCACATGGAACCCAGCAGCTGCCGTGCTAAGGACACAGAAGAACTTACCAAAAGGGGGGGTTTTGGCAACCGTTACTCTGAAAAATAGTGTGTTTTGGGGTTATTTTTGTGTGTGTGGTGAGTTCTGGCGCTGCACGGGGAAAACCCAGCCTGGGGACGGGGGAGAGAAGGGGGGGGGGGACATCGACCCTCGCGACTCTAAGGACAACACGGGTACACACAGTCTGTTCTTCTAACTGAATTGACTTAGCATTTTGACCGAATAAACACATTTATCCGGTAACCGCCGTGCGCAATCAGCGGCCGGGCCCGCCCCGGCTCTGAGGGCGCCTCCCCCCCCACCCTGCTCGGATTCCCGAGCGCTGCGTCACAGCCACCCCGGGCGGCGTCTGACGTCACGGCCGCTCCGCCAATCAGCGGGCGGCGCCGCTCCGCTCTCCACCAATCAGCGGCGGACGGGCGCGGGGGGGAAGGAGAAGGCGAAGGAACGCGGAGCCAGCGAGGCGGCGGCACAAAATGGCGGCGGCGGCGGGCGGTGCGGGAGGCGGCGGTAGCGGCGGCCCCGCGGGCCCTCAGGGGGCCGGCGCGGCTCCCACCCCCGCGCCGGGCCCCGGCGCGGTGCTGATCGGCGACCGGCTGTACTCGGGCGTGCTGATCACGCTGGAGAACTGCCTGCTGCCCGAGCACACGCTGCGCTTCACGCCGTCCATGAGCAGCGGCCTGGACCCGGACACCGAGACCGAGCTGCGTGTCACCGGCTGCGAGCTCATCCAGGCGGCCGGGATCCTGCTGCGGCTGCCGCAGGTGGGGCTGGGGCCGCGGGTGGGGGGTGCTCTGGGAGCGGGCCTGGCCCGGCGGGGCTCCCCTTTGTCCCTGGGCCCGCTGTCCCGGCGCCAGGCCGGGGAGGCCGCGGGGCCGCCCGGGGGGGCGGGGGTCGCTGGGGGATCGCTCAGGGGTCGCTGGGGGATCGCTCGGGGGTCGCTCGGGGCCTCGCTCGGGGCCTCGCCCGGCCTGGCCCGGCCGCGGAGCGCAGGAAGCGGGTGATGTCAGCGCCTTTCCTGCGCCGCCCCCGCCGCCTCCGCTGTGATCGGGGATTGTGCAAAGACGGATTTCTCTGAGTCGTGACCTCAGGAGGCTTTTGTTCCCCTGGAGAGCTTTGGGCCCAAACGGCCTCGTTGCTCTCTGAACGTTAAAACTTTGCCAGGCGTTTCCCGGGTGCCGGGCCTCGGCTGCTCAAATATATGCAAATCATAATGTTATTATTTTCCCCTTCTCTTTCCACGCCCAAAAATCAAAGGTTTTCCGGTATATCCTCATAACTTTAGGTTTTATTGGGGTTTGGGGTTTTTTCCTCCTTTAAATCACTATTTGTTTAATAATTTAGAGCATATATTCATGCTTTCTAAAAGAAAGTTGTGATTTAATATATGTAATGTACTTAGAGTATTTATGGTCTTGATAAGTAATTAAGTAGAAGTTCTAATTTTCCTTAGATACCACTGAATGTACTCCCATGCTTACCCAGGCTTCTGGGTCTCAAATCTGTAGAAATTTCTCATTGGAACTGCTGGTTTTTTTCATGCCTGTTGTGGTTATATCTTTTTTTTTTTCTTTAGGTGGCTATGGCTACAGGACAGGTGCTATTCCAGCGGTTTTTTTATACCAAGTCTTTTGTGAAGCATTCCATGGAGGTAAGGAAACATTAAATAACATTTGTTATTAACGTACACGGAGCCATATACACCTCTTAATCTTTGATCTCGTTTGGCAAGTTGTCATCTGAGATGCGGTCAGTGTTAATGACCAGCCTGGAGATTGTACTTTGTAAAATAAGGTTGCTCTATAATATTGTTTTTTGCCTCATATTTACTCTTTCCTTTTTTTTCCCCACCGCTTTCCCTTGTTATCCCCCCTTAAACTGTGGGGAGAGATGAATTCCTGGGTTCCTCAGTACCAGGAACTGATATATTATTTATTTCTATTTCAGCATGTGTCCATGGCCTGTGTTCATCTGGCATCCAAAATTGAGGAAGCCCCAAGACGGATACGGGATGTGATAAATGTGTTCCATCGCCTCAGACACCTGAGGGAGAAAAAGTAAGCTGAGACTCTAAAATAATTTATTTTTGTTGTATCTTATTAAACCTCTGATGGAATCATTCCCTGCTTCATAAATCAGGGAGCATCTTGAAGAGATCTCACGAAGGAGAGTTGTCACATTTTATGAAGTCATTTTAAATGCTGATAACTCTTATTTTTACACAAACACAGCCTGCCTCTGAGCCCTCTCTGAGGTTAAGATGATCTCCAGAATGTGCCCTTGTCTTGCAGAAAACCTGTGCCTCTAATACTGGATCAAGAATATGTGAACTTGAAGAATCAAATAATTAAGGCAGAAAGAAGAGTGTTGAAGGAGTTGGGATTTTGTGTTCATGTGAAGCACCCTCATAAGGTTTGTACTGCATAAGTTCACTTCACAACCCAGTGTTTCATGTGCTGTAATGCTTTGAGGAGGCTGCCTGCCTGCGTGGATTGTACGTGATAACTTCAGTTAATTCAGAAAGATTAGTTTCTTACCATCCTGATGTTTTCTTTCTCATTTAAGAGACTCTTACTAATTGGTCTTGTATCACTGCTGAATGACGACGAGGTGGATGCAGGTGCTCAGTGTCCCTTGAAGTCAAATTGGATGAGTAGGTAGCTTTGGTGTTAGAAAATGTCACTGTAACGTAGATTCTTGAGCAGAAAAGGAGTCTGAGGACCTGGAGTTGTCATGATCTCTGCTTGTGGAAACATGCTGAGGTATTAAACCCATCTGAGCTAGTTAGGGGGGTTTGTATTCTAAAAGTTACGCTCAGGTGTGAAGGGCTTGGCTAGAAATGAGACAATTCTCAGTGGCTGAGTATCAAGTATCAGACTAGGGTGATACTGGAGAGCTACAACTACTGCAGGTGTTCAGTTGGTGCTTTATTACCATTAGTATTAAAATGCGGTAAAAGAACTTCCGACTTCTGTGCCAGCAGAACTTGGGATCTCCCACTTTCCTCCAAAAACTGCTGTTGAAAGTCTTCTTTTTGAGCCTACTTGACCTCCAGAATTCCCTCGTGTCACCCACCCCAGGGGGCAGCTGCACTTGTTTTGCTCGCTGCCGTGAACTTTGCTTGTAGTCCTCTTGTCTGCAGCCTCGTTTTCCTTTCAGAGGAAAAGCCCTCGGAGCTGAGCAGGCCAGGGGCACACAGGGTGTTAGATCTGTTCTCTGCACACACTTCTCTCGCTGCCCAGTGCAGGCAGCAATATTTCCTCCCGAGTTGCAGCTAAAAGGAGCCCTGAGAGGTTTGTAGGAGAACATCCTTAGGCGGAAACAAGACACCTGGCTGAGGAGGATGGATGGATGGATGGATGGGCTCGGAACGTGGAGAGCTAGGAAGGCCAGAGCTGTGTGGATAAACACTGGGGATGGTGCAAACACTTCGTGTGGAGTGTTGTAGGACTTGAAAGAGGCTGACAGATGCCTCATGGATGTCCCTCTGAAATGAGATGGTGGCTCTCCAGATGCTCGTTAATAACTCAATAACCCATATCTTCCAGATAATCGTTATGTACCTTCAGGTATTAGAATGTGAACGTAACCAACACCTGGTCCAGACCTCATGGTAAGTTGATTTTCCTTGTTCTAAGAGACCAGAAGGGGCAGTAGCAGAAATATGTCACTTGAGGCACTGGGCAGCATTGCTCAGGAGTGCTTGGGGCCACACCAGACAGATCCACTGTCCTTGGCGTGCCCCAAACTACTTCCCAAATGTTGATCGGCCTCTTAAGTCAGAGGCACTGTTTTAATGGTAAGGTAGCTTTCCACCCTGACTTCTCACTTCCCTCCTCTCTGCTTCCACTTTTTCAGCTAAAGGGAAAATGTTGGGGTGGGTTTTAGTGTTTCCTTGGGTTTTTGTTGTTCATGTGTAGTTCAAGTCTGTTTCCAGTGCTGGGAAATGGCTTTTCCCGGGGCTTGAGCTCGATTACAGGTGTATCAAAACCTCAGCACAGATACATTTCTGTTATCTATGTGGATAATGCAAGTTGTCAGCTTCTAAGCCTGGATAGATGGATAGACTGCATTCTTGTTTGCCAAGAAATGTCCTCTGCCTTATCGCTCTCATTACAATAAATACTTGCTTGGGGGTGGGAAGCTTCTGTAAAATTCCAGGTCTTAAAACTTAACAACTGATAAATAAATGCTTTGAAACCGTAATGCTTTTTTTAACAATAGCTTGGTGTTAAAAAATAAAAAAAACACCTTTTAGTGAATCCAAAGACCATATTTCTGCTGACTGAACTGTCTGGTACTGTGACCTGTGTGTAGAGAACCAGTTTTGACTTTTCTTTTCTGTACTCTTTTAATCAAAGGGTAGCCTCTGAGGGTAAGTGACTAAGACTTCTCCTCTGCTGCCCATGGTGCAGGGATAGCTGCCGTCTTCAGTCAACCCAAAGCTCTCCAAAGAGAAGGCTGGCTCTAGACAGGTGGTATATACATGATAGTAGAGTAACTGGCCAACTGCTTCTTGTGCTTTATACCTTTTTAATTTTTTTTGTTTGTTTTTTTTTTTTTTTAAATCGTGCATTTTGGACTGTTTGTATCTCTTATAACCTGACTGTCGAAGTTACAGAAGGGATTTAATGTTCTGGTTTATAACGTGATGTGTTCTTAAGTGCTAAAGCAAATTTAAGGTGGGGTTTAAGTCTTAAAGGGATGGATTAACACAAAAAAATACGAGTAGTTTGCAATTGTAAACTAGTCAGGAAACGTTTGATACATGTTTGAAGCGTGGAGACAAATGTCATACTTAGAGACACTTCCTGACTTCCCAGTACCATTGCATGGAGTACTGGAATGTGAGGTATGGACTGATCACTGCCAGTTATCTGCTTGTAATGGGAGGAGGGATAGGGGAGGAGGAGGGAGGGAATTACCCTGGTAGAGAAATGGGTCAGATGTTACAACAACACATCTCTGTGCTCATGTTGGTTGCTACCTGCAGACTGGTGGGTATCCAGTATAACTGGTTTTTGAAATGTGCGTTTTCACAGCATTCCCTTTTTCTTAAAACATTGTGACAAGGATTCATTTCCCCACGTGTCTGATCCTGAGCCCACAGGGAAAAGGTGTGCAGAGGCCAGACCTGGAGCAGTCATGTTTTCTCAATTTGGCAAATCAGAAAAAAAGGCTGTGTGACTTCCAGCTGAAGTTTCACTTTTATCTCTTTCTTTTTTTGACCAAAAGGTTTGTGCTCTCTTTGTAACGGGACAAGAAAAGTAGGTTTTGAAGTTCTTTCTTTTTCCCAGAAAGATGAGCTGATGGGTAGTGTTGTTTCTCTGGGGTAGCAGTTGCTCTTTGTGCAAACAGGAATGTGGGACAAGTGGGAGTTGGATACCCTTGGGATTCAAGGTCCTTGGTCTGCCCTTGTATAAACTGGTTGCAGATGTCTGGCCTGTGGTCTCTGCTTCGGATGTCTTGGGGGTCAGTGAATCCTTGTATACTGGGTACCCACATGGTTACTTACTACTTTAAAACATAATATTTTGAGGATTTTTAATTGTGTCTGGTTTTAGTTTTTCTCCATCTGACATTTTGCTTGATAGAAGTGCTCAAAAAGTAGACCTCTTTAAAGCTCATCAGCTGAGAGAGTCAGAGGAAGTTACTTTGTGTATTTAAGATTTTAGCAGGATAATGCTTAAGTGTACTGACTGGAATATGTGCAATATTTTACAGTTTTCTCATTCTGTGAATATTCATTTTAAGCAACCTTTCTGAAATGGGACAATTTGGAAACCTTATTTCATGTGCCAAAGAGGAGATCTGCCTGAATACTGACTGTTGTCCTGAACTGACGTTCCCAAACACCCTGATTCCTTCTATGGCTGATTTTTGCATCAAAAGGAATTCTGTTCTGGCTGGAAAATCCTGCTTCTGGAGGAAATGGACCCCTCAAATCCCAGTGGGAGTTGTCATGTGCTGAAGAGGACTGCATTTTCCTGGGACAGCTACTGAAGGAGCTGCAGCTTTTGCCAGACATCTGGTTCTGCCCTTTTGCAGGGAAACATGTGAACCTAAAATTCTCTGAGTACTCCAGAGCATATTGTATGTTGTCCTGATGAAAATAACTTGTCTGTTGCATGAGAGCAGGCCAGTAGAGATCCAGCAGGAAAAGTCAAGTTCAAATTGGTTCTCTTCTCACAGCTGAATTTTCAGCAGTCAGTCAGGCTTAATTCCTGTCACACATCCCTCCCCTTGAGGGATTTACTTTAGTTTTTCTTTTTTTTTCCTAGTTAAAAAAAAAAAAATTCATTCCAACTTCTCTTTAGAGTTACAGGACTGTAATGTTGAAGTCTAGTAACTGAATGCAGAAAGAAATAGCCCTTGTTAGAAGTAAAAAAAAAAAAAAAAAAAAAAAAAAAGGCAAAAAAAAACCAAAATAAAAAAGCCCAGAGAGCTTTGCAGTGCTTTGCAACCTTTGCTCTCCTGCCTTCCAGGAACTACATGAATGACAGCCTGAGAACAGATGTCTTTGTGAGGTTCCAGCCAGAAAGCATTGCCTGTGCGTGCATTTACCTGGCAGCCAGGACGCTGGAGGTGAGCCACGATTCCCTAGATTTGGGGGAGTTTCGAGGTTGCCCCCAGGAGCAGGGAGAGCTGAGCGTGTCCCTGTCCCTCCCTTCCAGATCCCGCTTCCCAATCGCCCGCACTGGTTTTTGCTGTTCGGAGCGACCGAGGAAGAAATCCAAGAAATCTGCTTGAAAATCTTGCAGCTCTACACGCGGAAAAAGGTTTGTTTCTCTGGCAGGTTGGGAGCCCTCACTTAAAAAAACAAACAAACAAACAAAAAAAACCAAAAACACCCCCACTTTGTCCCGTTTGAAAGCAAGGCTGACACATGAAGGGAACAAGGGAATAAGGAATCCCAGCTGTCTGGAGGTTCAGTTCACTAAGTGGTTGTCACCACCTGTGTTCACAGGTGGATTTGTCTGACCTGGAAAGTAAAATAGAAAAGAAGAAATTGGCCATTGAAGAGGCAAAAGCACAAGCTAAAGGTCTGGTACCTGAGGGAATCCCGAACTTGGATAACACATCAGGATTTTCCCCTGCCCCGAAAAATGGTAAATGGTGGATAACTTGGTTTTAATAACTTTCTCATCTTTCATGTATATTTGCCCCTTTGGGACGCATTTACAAGTGTGGTTTGGGGTTGGTTGGGGATTTTTTTTTCCAAGCTGGCTTCCAGCAACTGGCAGAGTTTGAATAGTGTTGTGACTTTGTGATTTCTTGAATCAGATAAAAGCTAAAATCAAATTAGTCTAAAATTAAGGCTAGTTTAAACTCATATAGTTGCAGGGGCTTGTTTTTATGTGGTTTTGGCAATAAATATTTGCAACTGGCATGTTATGCTAAAGCAGCATTAAAGCAGAGGTGTGTTAGGAGCTCTGGCAGGAGTAACATTTTGGGGTGACGGGTGGGGAATATTTTCCTGCACTTCTTGGTTGAGAGTTTCCAATCTGGTGCCTGTCTTGCTTAGAAGGTAACATTTACCATCATCTCCCCTCAGTTTACCTTTAAAACGATACAGAATAACTGGCAAGAAAAAGAAGTTGCTGTCCTGCCTTCAGGTCACTCCCTGGGGTTACTTCAATGCTTTGGCAGAAATGTTTCAGATTTGTTTCTGCTTTCTGTGAACTTGTTCAGATCTGTTTGTGGGTGGTTGTGTGTGTGGAAAATACAGCTGTACGCTTCTGATCATGGCAGAGATGGTGAGAGAGAGGGGGCAAGGGGAGCCTTCAGTCCTTTCAGGTACTTCCCATACTTGCAAAATAGGTAACAAAGGCTTGTTTTTTCCAGAGTCCCCAAAGGAGGTTAAAGGAAATAAACCTTCCCCGCTCCCTGTCCAGGCAATGAAGAATGCTAAAAGGAAAACAGAGGGAGCCAAAAGAACGAGCTCCAACAGCCCAGTGAATGGGTAAGGCCTCATAAGGAAGCAGCTTATTTCTTCTCACAGCTACTTTAAGCAAAATAACTGAGTGTTTGTTGTGTCTTGCAGTGTCCAGAAAGGGAGAGAGAGCAGAAGTCGGAGTGGGAGCAGAGATCAGAGTTACTCCAGATCAGCCTCGAGATCTGCATCCCCCAAGCACAGGTATGTGCTGCTGTATGGGGGGCTGTGCTGGGACACCCTCCCAGGCTGGCATTTCACAGTAGTTTGTCACCAGGGGGCTGTGAAGTGACACAGCAGCGCGTGCTGCTAGTTAAACTGCAGAATGAACTCCAAACTGGGGCCTTTTGGTGGCAGCGTGACTGTAACTGGAGCTGGAGAAAGGGATACAAGTTCCTAAAAATTTCTCCAGTAAGCAGATGTTTTAGGACACAGGATGAGTTCTCACAATTTAAGAAAATCATGTTTTCTCTCTTTTTTTCCCCAGGAAAAGCGAGAGTTACTCCACCTCCAGCGGCTCCAAATCCCACAGCCGTTCCCGCAGCCGCAGCGATTCCCCCCCCCGCCAGTTCAACCACAGCTCGGCCTACAAGGGCTCCAAGGTGAGGAGCTACAAGAAATCCAAAGACTACAAATACTCCACCCACAAGGCCCGCAAGTCCCGCTCCCGCAGCTCGTCCCGCTCCCGCAGCCGCTCCCGGGAGCGCTCGGACCACTCGGGGAAGTACAAGAAGAAGAGCCACTACTACAGGAACCACCGGCACGAGCGCTCCCGCTCCTACGAGCGCGCCGGGCACCGCTACGAGCGCGAGCACCCCGGGCACAGCCGGCACCGCCGCTGAGGGTGGGCCAGGGACACCTCCCAAGCTCCACCACCCGCCTCCCTGACCGCCCATCCCGCTGGAGCTCCCCTGCTCCCTCCCCAATCCAAGGGGCTGCTGCGCTCCGGGTGCTCCTGTCCTGCCCTTCTTGAGTGATTCCCATCTGGGATTTCCACTTCCCCTGCAGCTCAGCCCTTGGAATGCTGCGCCCTGTGGAACTGGGAGGCCGTTCCTAACCCCCGGGAGTGGCTCGGTGCTAACAAAGCTGTCTTTTCGTACCGACTCCGGTGTTGTGCAGATGGGAGGTGACTTTTCTAGCCCTGTTGCCTATATTAGGTTCTATGTGTATATATATATTTTGCAGTGTTACAGTACAGTATGGGATTATGGCCTTACTAAGCCTTTACACTTTACCCACAATTGTAAATAAGCATTTGTTTAATACAGGTGAAGATATATACAGAAAATTCAAAACTTGAATTCTATAAAAAAAGAAAAAACAAACCCTTGTGTAGAAAATTCTGATAAATGTGAAAGTATTTAGCTCTGTGCATTGAGAGTAGTATATTTTTATCTGTGCAATGCTGTGTGCAGGCCACCAGCTCATAAGACATTTCCTATATATACATTTTGAGTGGTTTGAAATTCTTTACTCAGGATCTTTGACACTCTGAAGAATTAGTAGTTTGTCAGTCTGCATGCTTGTTGGAGAACAGAGCGTTTAAAAGCAAATTAGCAGACCCCCACAGCCCAGTAGTATCAGTTCTAGTGGTATATCTGAGCTGTTACTCTCTCATGCTCCCTAATTTCATTAAAGTATTTGATTTTCTATTAAATTTCCTCGATGGTAGTTTCTTATGAGCCACACCACTGTGCCTACTCATAAGGAAAGAATGAAGCGACTATCAAATTGTGTTCCCTGTTCCCTTGAAGTCAGGAATTTGGGGATGTTCTGTTAGTTCAGGCACCTCTCCAGGCAATCCCAAACAAAACATCCCCCAATCCACCAAAATCTGAGCTGGGCAGTGCATTTCCCTGCCTCCAGGTGCAGCTGGCAGGGTCCAGCTGAGGTTCCTGAGCAGAGACTCCTCCCCTGTGCATGAGGAACAGATGGCAGGGAACACCTGGGGGTTTTGGGGGGTTGCACCCCTTGCTGTGGGGGCTCTGTGCCAGTTTTGGGGGTGGTTAAAGGGATGAGCAGCTGTGGTGCTTTTGGTGTGAGGCCACGGGGACCTGCTGGGACATTTTGGGATGTCAGTGCTGCCGCTGAGCACAGCGGAGGGTCCCATGCCTGGAGCTGGCAGAGGAGGAGGAGCTGACATCCAAAATAAAGCCCCACGTTTTTATGTGCCTGCACATGCAGGTCTCAGCTCTCGAGGTGAGTTATGACTTTGTTTTCTCATCATCTGATGACTCTTCCCGGGTTCTTGCTGGTTTCTGCCACCTCCCCTGTGTGCACAGAGATGAGCTTTTCCCACCAGCTTTGGGGATCTGAAATCCAGGCTGATCCAGGAGCAACTCTGCTCACACTTGGTGTGTCTGGGGGCCTGGGGAATGTCTGCAGGTGTCTTGTCACCTTCCTCTCCCCCTGGGAGCATGACAGGAACATTAAACCTTCGAACGCTTCCAGATACGTAAATCCAGTACATTTTTGGAGCTACTGCACTTAGAAATAAACCAACAAGTGGGAATCGGGGCAGACCCAGCAAATGTCTGAGGCTTTTCCACAGAATTTTAACAAATTACCAGCTCTCTGTGTGGTTTAGTCTCCCACGTCTGAGGGGAGAGGCTATCCCTGACCTCTATCAGGATGGAGTTCATGTTTTAAAAGATCAGTGAGCTGTTAAAAAAAGAAAATACAATCTTGTGCTAGCAGATGTAATTGAAGCCTTTTATCCCTACGTACACCAGTTTCTGTATGAGTGTGTGGACCAGGAAGAGGTTGTTGATGTGGGAAGGCACACGCCAGCCCTGTGGGGAGCTTGTGTGAGGATTAGCAAAGGCAAGGCAGCCTGTGCTCAGGGCTCTCCTTGTTCCCTGCTGGAGTTCCTGGAGCTGGGCTTGGGAGCGAGATGGGCTTTGTGAGAGGGGGAAGAGCAGATCCACCTTCCTCTGTCCGAGCCCGTTCCTTCCCTACCCCGGGGGAGGCGCCGGGCGGGGGCGGGACCGGGACGGCCCCGCATCGCGCAGGTTGAGAGAACCGCGCGTGGTGGAGAAACTGCGCCGGGAGCGCAGCGAGCCGGGACCAGCCGAGCCGAGCCGGGACCAGCCGGGCCGAGCCGAGCCAGCCATGGCCCAGCCGCGCTGCCGCTCCGTGCTCATCACCGGCTGCAGCCGCGGCATCGGGCTGGGGCTGGTGCGGGGACTCGCGGCCGCCACCCCCTCCCCGGACTTCGTCCTGGCGACCTGCCGGGACCCCGAGAAAGCGCAGGTAAGCGGGCCGGGGGCGCAGGGGGTCCCCGGGGGAGGGTAACGGTGGCGGAGGTGAGGAGAAGGCACTTTGGGAAGCGCGGAACATCCCGAGCATCTCCGCGCCCGAGCGCCGGCAGCGAGTGCCCGGGATGGGATGGAGAGAGCATGGGATGGAGCCGGGGATGGGTCGGAGAGAGGATGGGATGGAACCGGTGCCGGGGAGGTCTCCGAGGCTGGAGCAGGGGGGAATCGCCGCTCCAGAGCCTTCCCAGGAGGAGCAGAGCGAGCGGGACACTCCGCAGCCCCCGAGCATCTCCAGCACTCATGCTGCCCACCCCCCCTCCCCACCCCGGTTCCCGAGTTTCTCGCTGGATTTGCAGCTGGAGATAAGTCTGTCCTGTCCTTCTGCCGTTTTGCACTGACCCGAAGCCCTGCAGGGGCAGTGCATCCCTCAGAAACATCCCCAGTGGGACCCATCACAGCTTTCCTTGTCTCCCCACGCGGTGTGTCCGTGTCCCCAGAAGGGGCTGTGCCCCGTCTCCCTCTTCTCTTTCTCCGCTGCGCTTGCAACAAGCGAGGGAGCCCGAATGAAGGATGAATTCAACACTCCGTGAATCCCACACTCCTCTCGGTACCCCCCTCGGCCGGGCAGGGACCAGCACTTTGTGCTGGAAACAGTGGCTTTTGTTACCTGCTGCTGGTGGAGCCACTTGCAGCCCTGTTCCCTTTCAGCCCACGCCCCTGCTGCTACAGGGTGCTGGGACTCCTTCCCCATCCCTGAGCTGCTATAAATGACTGTCAGATAAATCAGAGAAGCAAACTGATGAGGGTTATCAATCATTTTGTGGCATCTCAGCTTGACTCTGCCCAGTAAGATGAATTTAGGGCAGCAGAGCCACATGTACAGGTATCACCTTCTTCTTGGTGCTCCAGAGCTGCAGGAATCGGAGCTCTTGGCTCTGTGACTGTCTCAAACCCCTCTGTGATGCCACAGGCATTTGGTAGGAGAATTGATACCCAAAGCCCTATTTCTGCATCTGCCCTATTTCAAGGGGAAGGCAAATTCCCCGGCACGTGCAGAGGAGGTGAACAGAACCTGTTCCTTCTGGTGGATTTGATTCCTTTCACACAAACTGTAATCACACCACACCAGCAGTAAACCAAACACAGCCACTTTGTTTACTGCTTAGCTACAGAAAACCTTAAAAACGTGTGGCAGGGCTGGTCAGGCAACACCTGCACCAGAAGCTTCTGCTGCTCTACAGGGACTTGTGAAACTGCAGAGAAAAGTCTTAATTTCCTTTTTTTTCTCGTAAAATTAAAAAATCTCTCCAGCACAAAAGCACATTTAGGATATTCGTAAATAGAAGTGCTGAAAACAGCCCGGCCAGGCTGAAATCAGGTGCACAGGCTGCCTTTCAGAGCTCTGGCCCCTGTGGCTCCCCCTCACCCCCTTCTGCACCACCTGAGCAGGAATCCACTGCCCTTCTGTTCCCTTTTAACTCCTGTTCCCACACCTGGCACCGCTCCCAGCCTGTTTCCTTTGGTGGTTGCACAACACCGGTGCAGCAGTGGCACAGGAAAGCAGCAGAGACATCTGACCTGTGTCAGATAGAGATCTCCCCGCGGAGCTGTTTGTTCTGGAGCTGCTTGAGGGAGGTTCTTTCTCCTTTTCACCGGCTGGCCCTTGTGTTCAGCAGAGATTTCTCACTGTAATGGTCTCGGATCGATTACACGGAGAAGCGAAACGGTCCCTTCAATAGGAAGAGCTTCCTAGGAAACGTTACACGTCTCAGCACAACTCCTCAGGTTTCTTGCCTTGTCATTACCTAAAATTGTGGAGCAAAAAGGCTGGTGAAGCTGCACAAGGAGATTAAACAGCCCTCAGACAGCGCAGGGCGTCTGGGAAGAGTCTGGGTCACTCCTTGCCTGCGGTGAAACCTGGAGAGTCTGCTGGCAGCGTGTCCCGTAGGCAGGAAGCTGGCCCAGAGCCACATTCCAGGAACCCCAGTGGGGATTCTGCAGGACACATGGGGTGCATCCTAAGCTTTTTGTTTTTTTAGGGGGGCAAGGTTTGTCCTTGGTGGATCAGGGTGGGTTTTTGTTCTCTGTGAGGACCTCTAGGCCATGTGCTGTGCTTTGGCAGGACATCAATAGAAGCCTCTGCAGCCAGCTGAAAGCAGATTTCTAACAGATGGGTTTGGAAACCCCACAAGGGAGAGAAATCTTTACCAAGGGTACTGCGGTGGTTTCACCAGCGTTATCTGCCCCATCTGCAAGGCACTGAGCTGGCACAAGACCTTGTGACCTCCTGAGTGTTTGCACTTTGTGCTGCTGGTCCTCTGGGCTGGCACGGGGCGAGCAGGGACCTGCTGGAGCCTCCAGCACTGCCAGTCTTGCTCGTGGGAGCACAAATTCACCTGGGCCCAAGCTTGGATCCAACCTGGCAGTGTTGCTGGAGCGTGGTGTGGTAGGAAAGGCAAAGGTTCAGTGATTTTCTCTTGATTTTTGTTTGTTTGTTTTTATGGTTTTTTGTTTTCCCAAAAAGAAACCTTTGCCTCCACTGACTTTTCCATCAAATCTTGAACACCCCAGGTTCAAGTTCCTGC